TGCCTACAATTACCCACAACCATGTATTTTTAAATATTTCCAGCCTATAAAAATTACTAATTTTTGCCACTTGTGTTTATCTGCATTTAGACTTTGATTTGGATAAATTAAGCTCTGAAGTGTTCCCTGCTTTATGAAACTCTGCATGTTGTACACTTCAACACAAATAAATGACTTCTACCATTAGAGGTTTAAATAATGTAATGTATTTCATGCTCAGCCTGAAGCTGGATTCCAATGAAGTTGCTAATGCACGTAATGATTAAGTGTAACTCAAATACTAACTGTGTTGTTGAAAACATGACAGGCAATAATTTGGTCTATTATATTCTGCCATTTAATTGCCTAGTACAGACATTCTCTGACACGTTATGAAGCAATGATTTACAATTATTCAAGCTGCAAAGGTCAGAAAGTGACATTATAATCATCTACACAGAGATCCCTTCTAATGCACAAAAACTAGGTAATACCACACAAAAATAGTTTTACTAGAGTAGCAACTTTCTATGTAAGATTTCCCAAACTGCACAAGTATAAATAATTAATTTACATTACAGTACATTAAGGTATCCTTGAAAATATAATGTTTTTCCTGCTCCTACCAATAAATTTATGAATAAGTCTTTTTTGCTTGCTAAAAGCAATCTGAAGAGTAGGCTTTCACTAAAAGTAGCCTGCAATTAACAGTAATAAGCTAAAAAAAATCTGAAAATCTAAAAGATTTTTTAGAACACAACACACAGGAGTACAGCCAATTTTTTTGATGCAGCTGGTCAAAGCACATTCTTCTCTATGAAGTACAACCATCTATTAGCCACCATACTCAAGATAGGCAAGTATTTTTCTTTAGACATTCTCAAAGCAACCAGTGTCATTAAAATAATGACCTTTATACAGATTAAGATCTCTGAACTATTCTTAGCATTAACAACAGCAGCAAAAGGGAAGTGATTTCCATGCTTGGGACACCACAACTCTCCTCAAAGCTTGTTTACAGGAGGCTTTAAAAAATAACTGCATTTAGCAAAACACTTATTTAGCAGAACGTCTTATAACATCTCCAGAATTAACTAGGAGAAGGAGTTTCAAAGCAAATTGAGAACTGAGGAGCAGAAAGTAAAAAAGACTAATAATTCCATGTACCAAAAGACCAAAACGAAGCAAAAAAAAACCAATGACAACAAAAAAAACCCACAAGAAAGAACTACTTCAGCAAAATACAGAAAAAACCCAACCTTTTCCACCCCCCTCCAAATTCCTTTGTGTATACAAATACTTACTTTTGTTCCTTAAAACACTTGACTGCTATATATGGAATACTACATAGAGAATAAACATAACAAAGATATTGCCTCAAATGTCCTTTCAATTTTTAGAAAGGTAGCAAAAAATGTTTATGTGCATGTTTTAAATACTGAAAATTTTCCTAAAAATCCAAACCTACTTTATACCCATCTTCCTCAGTAGATTTTTAAGAAGTCATAAAAGAGAGAAAAAAAGAAAAAAAAAGCAGCAGCCACTCTTACTTGAAACATGTAACTACATCCCCAAAAATTCTGTTTCTGAAAGCAAAGGCAAGAAAAAGGCAAAAGGATAGCAGATGAATTTTTAAATCAAACATTGCCTATAAATTCTGTTTAAAATCTCAAGTGCAGAACAATGCATTTTTCATGTTCTACTTGAGGCATAAAATTTGAAAAGTGCATGATAAGCCTTTTCACTGCATTTCACCAGACAAATGAAACAAAAATTTTCAGTGCTGGGCAACCAAGATTTGCTCCTCTCACCCAGGGTATCAGCCAATTTCAGAGCCAGACGTCCAAAAATTAAATTCAAATATGCAGCAGTTTGCTACCTGCAGAAAATAGATACTACTTCTGAAATAAAGGGATATATTTTACAGCCATGGGTATGGAAAAGAAAACAATTAACACACATCTGTGATAAGGAAATGAGTAGCAGACGGTTTATTCCAAATGTTAAAACATTAGCGGTGTCCAATTTCTGTGTCATGTAGTTTCTGCTGTGCAGCTGAAGAAAAACAAACCCTGAACTTCAATTAAAAAAAATAAAACAACACAGCAAAATTACTGCCTTTTTCAACAACTCAGTGAATTATATATTGTGTACTTTGTGTCATGTAAATATGAGGATCATTTGGAAAATTGAGACACAGCAAACCCTTCCTAAAACAACACCACAGATACAGCTTTTTGCCTTTTTTTTAAAGACAAAAATTTCCAGAGAATTTTTGTCTTAAAAAAAAGAAAAAAAAAATTGGTATTTTGAGACCACACTACACCACGGTGTCGCACTGACATTTCACCTTTAAAAAGTGCCCAAGCAGATTCAAAAGCTTTTGAAACACAATTTATCCTTGCAACTAGCAGAGGGCTTATTACTAGGAATCTAAAAGTCAGAGGATAGAATATTAACTACTGTAGAAAAGAAAACATAGTGCAGGACCTTCTGTTTGTGACAAAATTACGGAGTTAATGTTCCTGAAAGATCACTTCACCTTTTAAAGCATGATTTTTAAAAAGGTAAAATTTATAGCAATTAAAGCTAATGAAGAAATGCAGCATGAGCTGCTTATGTTCAGGAACTAATAGGTCCACTGAGCATTTCTAAGATTATTTAGCCATCAATGATAATGAATTGACATTGTCAGTGGTGTTAATGTACCAATGCTCTACAGTGCCACTAATCCGATAGCCAATCCTAGCAATTTTAATTTTTTTTATGTTGCTACTTTATTTTTTTAACCTACACACTACCCAATGCTTTCAATTAAAATAGCAGAAATACAGCACAGGCTATTACACTTTTTTCTCTTCTTCCACATTTAAGGATGGCATATTCATTATTTGGACTACAGTTCAAACTGCTCTGGTCATTCCTCTTTCTTCAAATCCTGCTCAATTCTTCAGGACTGTTAGCTACAGTACAAAAATGTCTTTTCCAATGAAATCAATGTTAATGTATAATTCTTAAAATACATTTTTGGTGCACATGAAGTGAAATGTGATGATTATTTAAACAGGTGTATAAATCCTATTTTTGTGAGCACAGGGTATTGTGGTATATGTCTCTTCAGCTGATTGTTTTGCCATATCTAAATAGCACAGCATCCTGTTGTTGATGAAAATTAGCAATACAATATTACACAAAAATGGAAAGTGAGTACCTGCTTGGCTACCAGGTATGGCATGTCAGCAACATACAGTAAGCAATCGGCTTAGCAAAGTGACTAATATTCAAGTCCACGGTTTAAATCATTCATACATGTTTTGCTCTCCCTCTTGCATAACCGTTGTGAATTGCAACCGAGAGTTGTGTAATTTCTGAGACAGATTCTAAGAACATGTCAATCCCAAAGTGAAGGAATGAGGTTTTGGAAAAAAAATGCAGTACTGTGCCAAATCCTAATCATTTTAATTCTCTTTTTGTAAAAGATACGGTATTAGCTATTTTGAAATTTTTTTTACTTTTCCTCTCACCATAACATAGTTAAATAATATGGTGATTTTTCAGTTTAAGTTAAAAGGGAATGGAATAAAGAACCATTGTCAAGTTTGTTGACAACTTCTAAAGAACAGAGCTTAGCCTTAGCTAAACAGTTTTGTGGCTCTGTAGTTGTTAACTATCTTCCATGCCAAATTCTTGGCAATTCATATAGCAGAGATAGTAAACAAGATTTTTCAAACAATATAAAATAGCTACCACGCATAATGTTCATTTTAAACATGCCGCAAAATAAAGAGTAGCACAAGTTATTCTACTACTGATATTCAGTGGACTTAAGAACTAGGCTCATACATTTTTATTTCTTGTTTCAAGAAGTCAGCAATTAATTTTCTTAAGTGAGTAAAAACATCCAAAGTATCTCATAATGCTGCATGCAAAACTCTTTAAAACCCAGAGAGATGAATCAGTGAAAATCACTCAGTTGCATCTTCAGCTGAAGATTCACTTGTCCTTTAAAATGTGTAACTCACTTTGTCCTGCAGTAGATGGGTATACTAAGGCTAAAAAAACCTCCGCCTGCTGAATATTATCCCCAACATCTCACCACACCATTCATGGATGCACTGCATCATCTAATTGAACCTGTGCTGTTCTACACATTAGCCATAAGACTGCTATAGCAGGTTACATAGGTTTGAGTAAAATGTTTTTATATGATGCATATATTAGTTAATTTCTCCAGCATAATAACATTAAAATATATTTTTAATCAGAACTAGGGTATTAAAATCCAACTTTGAATGTCCTATGATGTACCATATATGCCATGGCATTTTAAAACCTTTTAAACATTTCTGCTAAATTAATTAGTTTTGCATTAAGGAGTCTCAATGCCTCCTATTAAATGCAACACATTTGAAGGACAATTAAACATTATGAACGATCCTTCTGAGGAAATAACGATTAAGTAAAAAAGAAAAACAAGATTTTTGGGGTAACAAACAAGAACACAAGCACACATAAAAGACTGCAATTTATTTTCAAAGTCTTATGCCTGCGATATTTTAGATCCGTTTGTTTGAAAAATCAGTCTTCTGTTTTGTTTTCGTAAAGAATGAAAACCCTAATGGAGTCCAGAAATCTGTTAATGGTACTAAAATTATAACAGTATAGCAAAAGAAAAAACCCCACACAGTAAAGTCTATATTATATATTTTTTATGTCTTTAAATGGAATTTACAGTTCTCCCTCGCAATGTGAATGAACATCCTATAATTTAGTCAATTTACAGATTACAGGTTCAAATTGACCTTGTAGCCCATAAAATTGCTCATCTTCAGTGCAGGATTAGAAGTGGGAAAAGAATGTCATAACTGTATTTAAGGAATTTACCATAACAATGGAAAGGAGGATATGCATGCATAATTTTAGCCACTCTTGCTCACATCACAGTTTTCAATTCTGAAACAATGCATATCCTGCACTCTTCTCCTGGTTAACCATGGTGGAGACTGTTTCAATTTACTCACCCACAGACATGACACTTGTATTCCCTCATCCCAAGGTGCCTCTTGACATGGTTTCTGGCATCTCCGAGCTGAGCTGTTGCAAAGTGGCATATCTTGCACTTGAATGGCTTTGATCCTAAGTAAAATTTAGCATAAGATATGAGTTGAATTAGAATAATGTATCACCCACGGTAAAAGAAATAAAAAATCCTGGGAAAAAAATAACCTTTAAAAAAGCTTATCCCACATTTAACCTGTTTGAGATTTTTGCCTGACAAAAAAAAGTCTCTCCTACATAAATTTATAACTCCCAGGACACAGACGGTATATACCACACATTACTCATTAAAGTTTCCTTAAGTTCAAGATCATGGAAACTACTCTCTTGACTTTTAACAATAATTTAATCTTTTATTTATTATTTTAAAAACCCACAAAATATCAAAATGAGAAGACAATATAGTAGGTAGCTATTCTTTCAACAAGATGGCAAAAGTTGTTCTACACCTTTCCCCATTTCCAAATGCTGAAACTCAGGTAACGGTTTTAAAGTGGCTTGACATTGGTGTAAACTGCAAAATGTACTTGTTTTTTAAGCAAATATATTTAAAGTAAAGTAATTTTTGAAGTCGTCTGACTTTGAATAGATTTCACATTAGCATTGGTATTTCAGATTTGTTCTGTCACACAGAGAAAATGATTCATCACCTAGCTATTGTAATGACATGCAATGTATGAATATACAGTGGATAAAATATTATGCCTTTATGACTGTTTTATGGTCAAGAATTTATGATTATTCTGCAAACCAGAAGTATTGACATTTTGGCTATTATTTATTTCAAGAACAAACTTTAATATTAAATGTCTACTGCAGACCAAAGAACTCTGAAATTATTTCTCCAAGGAAGAAGTACCAGCCTATTTCTTGTATCACAGCAGTTCAGCAAAAAGTCAAATTGTTTGTCTATCTTAATTAACAGTGATCCTCTCTCGAGGATGGAAAAACTATTTTTTTTTACTGAATTAGTTAAATTGGGCACATGTCAGTCCCCATGTTTTACGCAGCAACACCATTCTAAAGCATGCTGTAGCACTTTCCAATTTTCTGACCACTAAATCCTTAAATCAATAAATCAAAATCATAGAATTGCAGTTAAAAGTAAGTACAATATGGTCACAGAGTCTCCATATTATGTTTAGTATATGTTTTGTGAAGTACTTCTTCCAATACAGTTAAGCATAATATGAAATATGTGATCTTTAATAAATATACATAAAGAGCTCTGATAAGAAAAATGTTGCACTATATCATACTTGATCAATGAACCTTTTTGCTTTGCCCTTGAAAACAGAATACCCTCCAAGAATCCATTGGTGAAATTGAGGATCTTAGTAAAAATTTTTAGAGTCTTAAATTTCAATTTAATTCCCAAAAGCTGACGAAAAATGAAGCATTTAATTTTAATCTTCTAACTGAAATAAAAAAGTCAACAGTACTAAGCACGGGCAGACAAGGTTGAATATTTCACAGTTCAATGACAATGAAGCCAGATCTCTTAATACTTCCATTTCTACTGTTGGAAGTAGATGTAAAATATATTTAGCACCTGAATGGTTATATCTAGTCAGCTTTATATGTTTAAATGTCAAAAGCAGGTTGAGACTGCAGCTAACAGCAATCACATTCTATCAATCACACTGAAAAACCCCAGTTTATTTAAATGATCCTGATAAAACTAAATTAATCATTAATTTGGTGACATTTCAAATCAACACTGCATTCTACAAAAAGACTCGTGGAAATAAAAAAAAAAAAGCCTCTCTTTGCATTAAATAAAAGAGTATTAAAAGTTGATGTTTTAACTTAGGATCTTAAAGACTAATTGCACAATTAGTAACATCAAGGCCACAGTTGGAGAGGATTTTTTAAAATCTGTTGGTGTTTATACTGCTCTTTTTTGTCATTGAATTCAAATACCATGTGGATTCAATCCTGTGGTCCCTTAGTTTCTCTCCTACTGATTAAATTGTAAATTCGTTCCTCATTCTGTTACTGCAGGTGTCCCACAGGGCTTCCATACAAGACCTTTGCTGTTTTCCATTTACATGACTCCTTTGTGAAGAACTCGAGTTCACACCAATCGTAGCTACAGTGTGCTGACAATACAGAAATGCATTATTCTGTTGACTGCTCTCATCCAAAAATCACTCAGGCCTTGAGGTTTTTTTATTTATTTCTCAGATCCAGAGCTGAGTATCCGTTAACATCTTCATTTAAACTCCACGAAAATTCAAGTGCCGGCAGGCTCCAGCCAGTACTTATCACCTGAAACAAAAGCACAGCGCATCTCCCTTTGAGGTTGCTTGTGCCACATTTGTTCCAGTATGTTCTTGGATGGAACAACTCAAAATTTTATACTTAAGATGAAGACATTAGACTAAGAGTTAAACTAACGGGGCAAAAAAAAATCCATGTTTGCCATAAGGCTATCTAAAACAATGTTGAAGCAATTAACCATTTTTCAGCCGTACTTGTATTATCACAAACTTTAATGGTTCTCATATGCTGTGTTAAATGTGATATTACTGAATTCACACTTGTCTTTTAGTTCACAGAAAAATGAGAAAAATACTTTCAATATAGCATCTTTCCAACCAAATGACTTTCAAAAAAAAAAAAAAAAAAAAAAAAAAAACAAAAAAACACCACCACATGATTAATTACTGTACCCACAAGTTATGGCACAGAAACAAAGTGTACATTTTCTGATGGTAGCAGATAACAATAAGGCTCTTAATAAGAGAACTGGGGAGGGGAAAAACAACAACAACAAACCCCACCAAATTGAAAATAGACTAAATTTAAGAGTTCAGGTCAGACAGACACAAACCATGCTGCTGTTTTACCAAAAAGACTCTTCATAGCCATAAGTTCATAGTCCTTATTTTACATTAAGACAACAGAGACCCAAAACTACAAGAAAAATTCACTGCCTCAGTTTTAAGCCAGCCAAAGGCAACATCATCTGCAGCTGCAGGAATAGCTGTGTCCCTGTCTCAGGCCCAATGCAAAGTGAGGAGGGCTGTGTGAAATACCATCATCCCATTTCCTTCTATGTTTAGGACGTGGGGAGTAAGACACCACACTTACATTGAGCAAACCTTCCATTAACTGAGAAATCTGATGAGAAATGAAACCAAGATGATGTGGCTGCAGGTGATTTTTCCTCAGATGTTGATTGTTAATTAAGTTTATGGGACCTCCACCAATTGCGAACTAAAAAGTCTTCCACCTCTACTACTCCTTTTATTTTTCTTTATGCTTCCTCATTTTCACTTGTCAACATGTGATGGACTTACTTGTTATCTCCTCTCTAGCAAAGCTTCCCTTTCATTTGCAATGTGAAAAGCTACATTATTTAACGGTATTTTGAAACATTATTTTTCTATTAATGGAAATCATTAGTTGTATCTTTCTACAACTTTCCCTTCCCTTCCCCTCCCACCCCAAACCATCACCAATTACTCAATAAAAAAAAAAAAAAAAAAGGCAAGGAGCTGGCTATGGTTACACATACATACGTATAGAAACATATATATGCACATCGGGGTGCTGAAGAAAGATTTTAATAAAGCCCCTGATCAGAACAATAAATGGGAAAATGTGCAGCTCTGCTCCTACTACGTTATCCTGGAACAGACGAGAAGCTAGGAATACCATCCTTTGCCTCCCCAATGTTACAAGCCAGTGTATATACAGTTGGTGGAGTAGGTCAGTTCCCTCTGCCACCACTCCCAATAACCCCAAAATAAATATTTGTTTCTTATTCAACTGCATCCATTCTGATACAGATTGGAAGAAAAGGTTCTATAAGACACAAAGGAAATCACAAATATGAAGATAAGGATTGGAAGAGAAAGCCTTCTTCCCATTAACTATTAATAAAAGTCTCCGCATTACTATTTATGTGAATAAGCAAAGCATAAGAAAAGCATTTCATTTAAAGGTGCCGTGAGAAAGAGGGCAGATAAAACTCTACTCTGTAACCCTTCTATACCTCCTTTGTGCACAGCACCAAAAAATGACTTGCAAAATGAAATGTATTCTTTTACTGCTTTGCATATTTAGGGCCATCCAAAAGCACAATAAAAATATACTTCATGATAAGACCTACACACAAGCTGTTAAAAAGTACACTAACTTTTACTAAATGTTACAATCAATGATGTAACTTATGTAAGTAGGGTTGCTTTGTCATATATTGATAGTTACCTCACTTTCACATCCACATTAACTTGATTTTAAATGCAATTAATACATATAGTCAAGGAAGACTAATGGACTACATTCTGCACTTAACCTGGTGGACATTTTCAAATGGCACAAGTGACCAGTGCAAACCTATTTTGCATTGTAAACGACTAAATAAATCTTAATGGATTAAGAATGATCAGCTATCAACACACAAGGGAAATTAAGTGCTGAAATGCCTACATTGATTATTTTAAATTATTAGCCTTACTCTGTTCTTGAATTTGTATGCTTTTAGTGAGCTTTAACACATTTACAAGACTTATTGACTATAATTACAAGAGAATTCAAGTAATGGACACATCAATTATAAGCAACATGTCTTGACCAGACAGTTGCATAAAGAATTCTAAAGAGAGCTCCATTAGCATCCCCCCCCTTTAGTTTTATTCAGTTTTATCTGCCGTAAGAGGGCATATTAAGGGCTTATACAGCTGCTCTGACCATGTGAACATGAGCGTCCCTCTAAAGACTTAACACTGCATTCAAAGCTGGATATTAGCTGAAGCGATACAGATAACTACGTTATTGACAGGATAGAAGTAATGCTGAAAGTATTAAGTATGTGAGTTATTGGTACACATGAATACTGCCGTTATAGTAAAATACTTGGAAAGGTTTGAAATACAGTGTCCGTGTTCCCCAAGATTAATTTTAAACTTTGTTGGCCAGTCACGCCCTTGCCTTTTCATAAAAAACCTTACAAAACTATTTTAGGATTATGCCAGGAATTACCATTCTTTTATGCTTCTTTTTTCTTACCTTTTTGTTCTCTTCCTTGTAACCATGCACTAAGTTTCAAATACTGCATGAATTTAAACTATAGCTTCCATAATAAGCCATTATTTAAAAGTACAGTAAAATAAACCTTACAGTTTTAATGAAAATATGTTCATTGAAATGTGAATTTATTATTCAAATCCACTCATAAATTCAACCATGGAGACACCACTTGTCTAAGCAGAGCTCAGTGATTTAGAAAAGCTGTCTATTTAAAATAAAGAATGTATGGCAGGTTTATAGAAACATCGCAGTGAATTTTTACATAAATTTAGAACTGCAGCTTATGCATTTTTCTACAAAAATGTTTTTAAATTTTCCACTTAAAATTAAACATAAAAATGAATTGAAAGTGTGATCAGCACAGAAATTAAATCAGATGCTACATCCCCGTGCATCACATCGGCACTACACACTACCTCCCAAAAAAGGCTGACCAGTTCCAATTTCCATAACTTATTTCTACAAAAACCTCTTGCTGCCCCTTGTTGGTATTTATTTAGGAATGATGAAATGTCAAATGTCTACCCTGCAGCATTATGTAATGCTGAAAGTGTAACTGAATTGAAATGAAATAAACCATTTGGATATTAAACAACTGCAAGGAAGAGGAAGTTAGAAAGAACAGCTAATTGTTCTCTCAAACCACCACTGCTTCATTATATAAATTTAAGAACCAAGTAATGGTTACAATTTAGATTAAAGGGAAGAAAATCTCTCTATATGAAAACAAAAGGCAGAAGGGTGACTGCGCTTAAAACGTTCTTACATTTTCTGCCCTTTGATCACTGTATTTTCATACCCCTTTAGGTAATTTTGAATTTCATCGGGGGCTCATCAGGCAATGTGAACACCGGTTCGTAAGAAATGTTAAAGAGATTAACAAGCAGAAAAAGACCAATGGTATAATTCACTCGGTTTGAAAGAGACCACTTCCAAAGCGAGCGTTTCCATACCTGTATGGGTACGGATGTGAGCTAGGAAGGCCATGGAATTGCTACTTCTACACATCTTCCCACAATACTTGCAGACATTGCCTTGGTTCTCCTCCCTCTCCCTGTTTATTTGCTCAGTGTCTTCCACGATGTACTTATTCACTTCCCGCAACAGCTCTTCGTGTTGCTCTTTGATGTGGAGAAACAAGCTCTGCTCCGAATCGAAGGGCTCCGTGCACTTCACACACTTGAAGGTAGCTCCTCCTTCGGGCAGCTCCTCCACGCTCGCCTGCTCATTTCGCATGTGCCCAGCGCTGGCCAAGTGCTGGTGAAGGTTGCTTTCTGTGTAAAATGACTTTCCACAGAGTAAACAATGAAAATGTTTTTCTTTTGAAGGATGTTTCATGGCTATGTGAACATTTAGTCCGCTCAAACCATCTGCTAGAAACCCACAGTCATCGCAGCGAATACGTGTCGATTCCCCAAGGGAAATTCCTTCTGGCTTCTTCTTTTTCCCACCACTCAGTGAAGGGTCCGCTTTCACTGTCGGCTCACCAGCTTTCACTCCACCTGACATCTGCCCTTCAGCAGAACGCTCAGTGGCCTCCCCATCTTGATGGCTTTTTAACCTCACTATAGAAGAATCAAACTTGCCAAAATTTTGCATTGCCTTTCCTTTATCATCAGCAATGATAACTGTTCCTAAAGCCTCATTACTACTTTCTTGCATGCCCTCAGCTGTTGAGCCATCTGCCTCCCAAGCATTGTTATTTATAGTTACTTCTGCTTCATGTTGTGCTTCCATAAGGGCTTCTTCCTCCTCCCCAGTAGGATCCGCTTTGAAACTTCTGTCACCCTCTAAACTACGTATATTTTGTACCGTTCCTCCAATGCTTCCAGCAAAATTTGATTGCTCTACTGCACTACTTGTTTCTGGAAGAGTTAGCATAAGAAGTGGGTTATTTTTTTTCAGTGATTTTTTTTGGAGAATGTCTGTGTTTCTACACACTACTTCAGGGTTTTCTCTTTTTGCTTCCAAGCTTTCCTCGCCTTTTCTTGAATTCAAGTTTGTGCAGCCTGATCTATTTTGATTTTCTGCAGCGCAATCATCATCTGAGATGAGCAGCTCCTGACCATGCCTACTTTTCTGGAACCCAGTCGTACCTGTTTCTTTAACTGATACTTCCTTGTCAAGTTTAACAACTTTATCTTTCTGAGTTGGTTGCTGGAATCCTTCACAAAAAAGGTCTTCTCCTCCATTTTTAGACTCCTCTTCAAGTTCACCTTCTACTGCATTTTGGGAACTGCTGCCTTTCGGCTTTCCTGGAGGTGCATTTTCATCTAAGACAGTACATTCAGTTAAGCTTTGACTCGTATGATCACCTTCTGCTGCATCATTGGCACATCTTGTTTGACCTAAAACAGTTTTCCATTCTCCTGCACTGTGATGGTGCTCCTCTTGAGACAAAGCAGTGCCTTCTTTAGTGGTAACTACTGCGTTTGCTTCCTCCCCAGAAGAAGAATAAACGTAAGATTCTCTTCTAATTTTATGTTTCTCTGTTGTCGCATGCCTAATCATCTCTCTGCGAGTAACAGCATAGTAGTCACAAGCCATGCAGTAGTATTCAAATTGTTTTGTATGTTTTCGCTTCACATGCAGCTCTAAAGAAGAAGAAGAATGAGCAACGAAGCTGCAGTGTACGCACTTGTTGTCGTTTGCACCCATTGCTCTTCTCTGGAAGCATGGGTCACCATCTTGAGTAACCCTCGCTGGTTCCAGAAATATACGTTGGTTTGTATTTAATGAATTGCTAGTAGGATTCAAATCTGGGAGCCTACCGGCATTGACAACTTTTAGCTCAGCATCTCCTTGCTCAACTTCCTGATTGCCAAAGACAGAATTTTCCAAATCTGATGACTGGCTACCATCTTCAACATGTTCATACAAGGCAGTCATGGAGCTGTTAACCTTCTTGCTCATGGATTCAAAATTACCTCCTTCAGGGCTAACGATGATCTCCGAGTTCTGTTTTCCACGTCCTTCTATTTCAACACGACTTTTGTGTTTTTTGGTTGCACAGTGGCGTTCCATATCTCCTTTGGTTACAGTGTAGTAATTGCAAACCTTACACAAATAGCTGTACTGATGACTGTGCTTTCGTCTGATGTGAACAGTCAAATTTGTAACGCTGGAGGCCAAAAGACCACAATGGGTACATGTCCTAGAAATAGTGCCTTTGGCTTTCTCTCTTTTGGGCGCATTAGCTAAAATCAATTCATTTTCACCAATCCTTTGATCAAGGGGAACGAATTCCTTATTTCTCGATATGTTTTCCACAGAACAGGATGAAACATGTATAATTTCTTTATCTAACTCTGTATTCCCACTCCCAGAAATGGAAGGATCCACCACTGTTTTAATACCACCAACACCAACACAAACCTTTTCAATACATTCTTCAAAACGTAGTCCAATGTTGTTTTTCCTGGCATTTTCGAGGTGCTTGCTTCTTTTGATATGCTTCTCCATTCCTTCCTTACTCAGTGAGTAGAGATTACACGCTTTGCAAAGGAAGTGATACTCCTGCGCATGTCGGAGTTTTATGTGCCTTGTGAGAACCGTGGAAGATCTTGTCTTATAAAAACACTTTTTACATTGAAATTGGGTTCTATTCAGGACAGAATGCTTTAGTTCATTTCTATGATTTATGAAGGAAGAGTCCGGAGCTTTTGCTTTCATTGATACTTCCACTTCCTTTGCAAGATTTTGGCTATTGTCTGATACTGCGTCAGCATAAGTTACCTCTTGCAAGGTCTGATCACTGTTACTCAATGGAGTAGCTTGCTGAAATACTGTACCATCATGTTTCTCATTTTTTTGGTGATTTATCAGCTCTTCTTCCATTTGAAAGAAAAGAATGCAAGTTGGACAACTATGGGACATATTATGCGCTTCACTCATATGGCTTCGAAGGCTGATCACATTCAAGCTGGTAAATGAACAGAGCTGACAATTAAAGCTACAACCACCCATCTGGTGTTTACTGTCCTGACAGTGTTGCTTCATATCCTCCCTGACTTCACAGGAATAACTACACATCTGACAATGAAACTGGACATTTTTTGTATGAGGCTTTGGAACACAAATTTCCAAACTTTTTCTGTTCTGAAAAACATGGCCACGATCAACGCAAGTATGAAGAACACCATGATCAGAAGTAAGTTGAACGTCAGAATCTTTACTATCTGTAGCGCTGGAAGAAAGGGTATTTGGCTTATCTTCAGTAGGATCTTGAATTTCTGAAGTAGTATTAGAATTACTTTTAGCATCTGTTTCTAATTGTGTGTGTGACACAGGGCTTGAATCACCAGGTTTAAGCTGCGTGCAGGAGATGTGCTTCCCGTGTACTCTCTGAGTTTCAGACTTGCCTCTCTTACTATTACTCAACAAGTTGTACCTTCTTTTAACCTGCCTTTTTAATCTAAAAGACCTACTCTGTCCAAATGAAGACCTTAACAAGACGTTTCTTTTACATTCCGGTCTATCAAATCTCCTTGTCATGTTTAAACTGCTAACTAGCTTTTTGGTAGTTGGAGGGAGTTCTGTTTTCTGCAAGGTATTTTCTGAGGGTCCTGGTATTTCTAGTTTTCCAGTACGGGCTTCATAATTTCCTTCTACACTGGAAGAAAGCAACATTTCTTCTGTCATAGTATCTATATTTTCAGTGCGAATATTTGAAGGTGGTATCATTTCAACAAGTTCAGGGCCATCATTTTGTTCAGACAAGCTTACTTTTGAGCCTTTCAGTGCACTGCAAACACTTAGTTCTTTTGCATCAGCAGTTCTTGCCCTTAATTTCCTGGTCCCAGGTTTTGCTCTGACATTCCTCTCTTTGGTTGCAGCAGACTGTTGGTTTTTAAAGGATTTTTTTGTCAATATCTGTACAAATCCTCCCCGGGCAGCAAGATTTTGGCGTCGAAGGTGCGTCTTGCCAAGGAAATGAGAATTTAGGAGACTTTCCTCAGCACTCTGAAAACCACAAAGATCACAACAAAATAGCTTGGATTTCTCATGATCTTGCTTAACACGCATATGTAATGCTGAACTACATTCAGCTGTGCAAGTACAGTGAGGGCATGTTTGCTTTCTGGATTGTTTAGAGGGGCTTTCTCGTTTACGTTTTACCATATCAGAGCAGGAAGGTAAACACTGATCACTCATTTTGCCTTTAAGATCTTTGTCTACGTTTCCAACTGTAGAGCCAAGACTGATTTCTTCTGAAGAAGGTAACTTATCAGGAACAGCAGTTGGCACCTCTTGTGAATGTTTATTTTCCTTGTGAATTTTCAATATGGCACCATCAGCACATTTGAAATTACAGTGGAGGCACAGGAAATTTGACTTAAATACGTCATCACCAAGACAACTGGTGACTCCTTCCTTCATACTACCTGCTTCTCCAACTACGACTTTGTGCAATTTCCTTTTCCTATCTTTCACGTCTTCTGAAGAACTCCACTTTCTTTTTCTGGAGACATTTTCAGGTTTGTCTGCTTCAACAACATCCAGGTTTGGTGACCTTGACAGTGCCCTTTTGTTTGTGCCATTCTCTTTTCTTTTCTTTACAAGGTCCCTGAACACTTCATCTGATATAAGCCTTGTTTTCTGCTGAGACGAAGAGTCGCATCCAGCATTTCCTCCTGATATATTTCTCCGGGATTCTCCTGTCAACTCAGTTTGTAAACTCTCATCAACATCATCTATCTTCTTATTTTCCTCCCCATCCATTCTTAACATTGATATTATCAGTTGTAGATCATTTGGCTTAGTACCTATAAAACAAAAGAGTTACTATTAGTCTTTTATGCACAACCAAAAGTTAAAAGACTCAAGCCAAAAAAAGGCAATATAGCAAATTAAAATCACGGCAGGAAGACAGACACAAAGAAAGATACAAGGCTACATTTTCAGTGTGGTGTCTGAACTTATGACATCTAAAAATAAAACTAACTTCTAGGCACTTGGTTACAGAGCTCTCACTGTGATGAGCACCGTGTGAGCGAGCACTAGCTTCAATAGTTTTTGTGTAATCAGGTAACTTACTCTATGCTTAAACTTGGGCAGATAAGCCTAACCTTTGTTTCTGGAAGTGTATTTAGGACAGAAAACACTAACAGCTTTCAGGGAACCAGCCATGGGATGTTCAAATTTTCCTGAACTAGAAATCCAGGTTCCCAAATTTAAAAGCTCCGAGGAGGAAATGACCATGACTGCAACAATAAGCAAAACAAAGCCAACATAAATGTTAAACATTGTAAGTATGAAGCTTTCTTTCCTTCCTCTGCTTAGATTACCTGCTAAAGAGGGAAAACACAAGTAGAGCCATGTTCTAAAAGAATATGATGCAAGTATAGCTCCCCATGGTTCCTAAAATATTCTCTAAAACTTCATTTCCCAAGGGAGGAGGGGGAGGGAGAAAGGAGAAAAAAAAAGTCATGAAATAGCAGTGCAGAGAAGGGCAGCGTCTTTGAACTCCAGCACAAACTCTGTCTAAATCCAGTTACCAAAAGCTTTTGCTCAACTGCCCAGTGTGACCTTCCTGCCCCCAAAAAGATGTCACCGCTAGAAAACGGATGCTACCAACACAGTTTGTAAGAAGGATGGGGGTGGGAAATCAAATCCTGACATTTATTACCTTTTCATTTTGATATGAAGCGATTGAGAATTGAAAATGCATTTCATTTTAACAGATGATTAAATACCAAATGTTTATCTATGTGCTTTACACTATGATTTAAACACCAATTTGCTGTAGATCCAAGTATCCAGTTTTTTGTTCAGTTAACCATTGAATGAGGCCATGACCACAATTCTAAGTACTTCCTGACAAGATTAAGTAATTGTAGTGTTGATACAGACAACACAGGGTACAAAAAACTATTCAAGTACATGTTAAAAAAAAAAAAAAAAAAGTTTAAAAATGCTTTTTCCGCTTAATAATAATTTATGGAAGACCCATAAGGAACTGAGTGCACGGTAGTTGCATACATTGAACAGTTTTTCCACTGTAGGTCTCTCATTGAGCTAAAGTACTGACCAAACTTATACCGAGCTAGCTATACCTAGCTAACAAGAGAATAACCACCTCTAGATCACAATAGCCCTTTGAAGGATCCCAATATTGCTGCTCTAACCGTGGTTTTCTAATTCTTATACACTATTTTTCTTTGCTTGCTAAACCATGATAGAAACTATCACAATGAGTCGGCAGTAAAACTATCAGGTCTATATTCTCAGCTGGTGTAAGCTGGCATAGTGTCGGTATGTTCAGAAACGCTAGAGCAATTAACAGCAGAGGAGGATGAAGCCTTTGAAGTGCAAGCTTACCTTGAGAAGGTTTATAAGCACTCTTTGGGATACAGACAAAAAGATCAGATGAAAATTATGTTGTTTAACTACGGTACAGCTTTATTTATATAACTTGGGCAGTATCAAGAAATTATTTTAGTGGTGAGTGCCACAGGTCCATCCTTAACTGTTTGCACACAGCAGCCATGGGTTCTTTGCCTTGCTGCACCTCCACAGAGGTTCTCAGCCCACCGCTGAGACCTGACCACTCTTCCCTTGCACAGCCCGGGGAAGAACAGCTGTCTTTTCTATGCCATACAAGGCAATTTGCAATCTCCAGCCAACTCTCCATCTTCTTTGTAGGATACTTTACTCTCAGATCATCTGATTTATCAGAGAACCTGTCCAGCACAGAACTAATACCTGCATTGGAAATTGCCGCTATCAAAGGCTGTATCGGGATAAAAAGGGGTTTCTCCATTGACAAAAATTCAGACGTTCAAGACATATTGATAAGTAGGGGACTGGTGGCTCCACACCACACTCTCTTCTGACATGCTTCATGCCCATTTAAAGCCGTCCTAAAATTTGATTTAAACCTTAAAGAGCTGTCACACCTAGATCAACCTCTGAGAGGAATCTCAAGCCACTTTCAGCCAAAGATTCAGTAAGGATGCTGTATCTTTGGATGGTGGATGCTTCCCAGCTCTCGCAGGCAGGTATCAGCAGTCTCAGAACATGCCTTTTCTGCCACACCAGTGCAGATTCAGCTCATCTCCACTAGCCACCTGCGAACTTCAGAAAAGATGGCTGATGATTCGCATTCAGTATCTGCAGGCTTAGCCTTACTTCTCAGCGTTTGTTCACTAACTCTACAATGAAGTTCATCCTGCTCTGTGCTTTACCAAAAATCTCGGATCGCAATCCCAGTTCTGGCATCCAACCTTGTCTTCAACTCAACTGTATTGCATCAATTAAGGATTTTTTCAAGTGCTTAGGAAAAAAAAAAATATTTCCCTTATTTTATCTTTGTAAACTGTTTGTAGTCACAACTACAAACTAGTTGCTAGGCAAGTGAAAAATGCAAAACACATCTCATAGGTGCTGCCAGTAATTTCAGTATGAAATTAAAATAGTCACGGATGTAATACAAATATGCAAAGGAGTTTTAGGCCCCAGCCTTCGTGCCTAGGGTCCTCTAGTTCTCCAAGTCACCAGTAAATGGAGACACTTATCTCTGCCTTCATTTCATCGTAAACTTCTAGCACGCAGACTGGGGATGCACTCAGCTTCATTTACAGGCTTTTACCAGTTTCATCTCTACCTCACGTTTGAGTTATCATGAAAATAATCACCCCTTGCACGCTCCTCCCAGAATTAGATTGGCCTCTGTCTCACCTCCATATAAACTGTGTCAAAATATCACTACGTGGGAGTATGCAAAGAAAACAACTAGGAAGCAGTTGTTGTTTCTCTAAAATTACCCCGTATTAATTAATCTAAGGAATTAAATTGTCTTCAGTTTCTTTTAGTTCTCTCTTAAAGTTGCCTTTAGGACAAGAGCACATCTTCTGAGGCAGACACTTAATGGCTACCGTCACTACTTTTTGCTGGGACCACAGTCAGCGATTTGCTCAGCCGTGGTCAGTTCTCCACATCTCAGACAAGATCTAGACCACAACACTGAGCCATGTCTCTCTTTCTCCCTGCTATGATCTTTGCTCAGACAAGACAGCTGTGTCTCTAACACAATTCCAGTAGCACACACCTCAGCTTCCTTGACGGGAGAGTAGTGCCTCACACCCAACGGGAGCTGTGGGCAGACCTCTTCTCCGCTTCCCACATGGATTTATCGCACAAATGACTATCACTACTTGAAGAACGCATTCAGCAGACCACAAACCTCCTCTAGGCAAAAGGAGCCTATAGTGCTTCCTCCGTCATAAGCTTCTCTCCTGAAAGCCCCTTCTCAGATTCGCCACAGGACGGGAGCACAACGGCAAAGTAACAAACTGGTCATAAATCTGGGAGGTCCTAATCCTCAGCCTGCATAAGCCAATTCACCTCTGCTCTCATCAAAGCCTAATTAATTAATTACACTAATTACAGACTAGCCTACAGTTGGTATTCACACAGGAATGAATGCACCAGAGAAGGCATCAACAGCACTTGGGGTTTGTACGGCCCCAGGGACCACATGATACATAAGGTTAAATGGGTTTCTTTTTGCAAAATTAATCTTGGATCAAACCTTAGTCTGGCACAGGGATCATCATCAGGAGCGAAGCAGCAGCATCTGGAATGTGATTAAATCAACTGGTAACCAAAAACATATTCTAGATGTAACAAGTAACCCTCTGCAGCCACGGCAGCTGAAGCATAGGCTTAAGTCTAATTTCTACTTAGTGTGACTGAGTAAGCTTTTTGATATCAACATAATGCTTGCAAACTCATATAGCAGTAGAAGTGGGGAAGAACAGCTTTTGAATTACCTTATTCATGGACCAACAAGACTAAAAACAATGCAAGATGCAAGCTCTCATGCTCTTCCTTCTATCTTCATCTTTTAAAGATTCCGTTACATTTTTACAAGTAACAAATATCTAAAGCACAACAATACGTAACCACTTAATGTATTGCATAAATAAACCAGAAAGGATTTATACAGGCTCCAGGACTGCACTGATGGCATCACCAGGTACAACCCAGCAGAACATCAGAGCACAGGATCAAGCCCAAGATAAGCAGACAGCAGTCAAATCTTCAGTATTTCCATAGCTTAAAGCCCGGTTCTGTCAAACAGCACTCTCTTAACATCATATCTGATGTTCAAAATGAAGCTGTTCTAACTCAAAAGTGGGTTGACTTTTTGTAACATAAATCTTTTGTTAATGTTCATATAAATCAAGTATAGCTGAACAGATTCTTAAAGGATATGACCAAAAATTAATTTGCCACATTAGCTTCAGGTTAACAAATTCTTCTGCTTGGAGACAGTCATACATTACCTAACACAGTTTAAGGTTCTTTGTAGCACACTGCTGTTCCTGAGTTTTGGAAAGAAACCTGTTGTGGCCTCAACATTTTTTGGGCAGAAAAAGTTAAGCTCGGTAATTCTACTGGAAATAGGAGCTACATCTTTAACATAGTGCTTTTCTTCAATAATTTTCCAAGTATCCAAAAGAAGTGAAATAGGTTTTTAAGATCTTCAGAAGCAAAATGTTTGTGTTACATATGTTACATCTGCACGGGCCAAATATCTAAATCTTTGCAGAATATATATGGGGACACACAGATTTTTAAATTACAAGTGCATAAAACACAATAGTTTGTCTGTGCCACAGAAACCAATATAGCTAAAGAGTCTTCTCTTTCATGCATTGGGATTTCCAAATGGTCAGAATTGTGGAGTTTTTGTTTCAAGTATTTAATCTAATTTAAAAGACATC